GCACTCCGCGGCAGCCCCGGTAGCTCCAGCAGCTCCGCGCCTGCGGACGACGGCGCCGACGCAGATCGCGCCAAAGTGGCGCAGGAGCGGACGGCGCAGTGGGCAGCCGAGCACGCCCGCGCTCCAGGTGGAGGCGCGCACCGCGACGGCGGCTGCAACGACCAGGACCGCGGCCTCTACGAGGTCCGGACTGTGGTCAGGGATGTTGGTTCCAGTGTTGGGTGGCCTACCCTCACTAAAACCAACTACGTCGAGTGGGCCGGGATCATGAAGGTCAGGCTCCAGGTGCGGCGCATGTGGGAGGCAGTCCAGGACAGCAACGTCGACCACCTAGAGGATCGACGGGCGCTGGACGCCCTCATCGCCGCAGTCCCGCCCGAGATGCAGTTCTCGCTTTCCAACAAGCGGACTGCCAAGGAGGCTTGGGACGCCATCGCCGCAGCACGCATCGGCAGCGACCGTGCTCGCAAGTCCACCCTACAGGCACTTCGTAAGGAGTGGGAGAACCTGGGCTTCAAGCCAGGTGAGGACGTTGATGACTTTGCTCTCCGTCTCAACACTCTGCTGCAGAAGATGGTGAAGTTTGGCGATGCCACCTACACCGAGGAGAGAGCTGTCGAGAAGCTTTTTCGGTGCATTCCCGAGAAGTACAAGCAGATGGCTCGCTCGATCGAGTCGTTGCTGGACCTCTCCACGATGACGATCGAGGAGGCGATAGGTCGACTCAAGGTCGTCGACACCGACGAGCCACAGCCCCCCTCGGGGCCCGTCACCACCGGCGGGAAGCTGCTCCTAACTCGGGAGCAGTGGGATCCCAGCCTTGGTGACAAGAAGAAGGGGGAGCCTTCCTCCTCGACGGGCGGCCGCAAGCGTGGCAAGCAGCGTAAGGCGCGAAGAGGCCCCCCGGGCAGGGCACAAGGACGTGCCGAAGGTGACGCCCGCGGAGGCGCCAAGGACGGCGCCGCTGGCAAGCCCAGGCCGGCACAAGACAACAGTTGCCACAACTGTGGCCGGTTTGGCCATTGGGCCAATGAGTGTCGGCAACCACGACAAGGCCAGGCTCACGTCGCACAGGCGAAGGAGGAGGAGACGGCTCTGTTCATGGCGCATGCAAGCATTGAGCTACCCTCGGCGACTCCAGTCGCAAAGGCTTTCATCCACCTCGATGAGCCAAAAGCACATGCTCTTCTCGGCGATGGCTCCGGGAAGGACAAGGCTACGGGGTGGTGCCTCGACACCGGCGCCACCCACCACATGACCGGTCGAAGGGAATTCTTCGCCGAGCTCGACTCCGATGCGCGAGGCTCCGTCAAGTTCGGGGATGCCTCCGCTGTGGAGATAAAGGGCGTTGGCTCCGTCATCTTCACCACCAAGATGGGAGAGCACCGGCTGCTCACCGGTGTCTACTACATCCCCGCGCTAAGGAATTCCATCATCAGCTTGGGACAGCTGGATGAGAACGGCTCACGCGTGCTGATTGAGCATGGGGTCCTACGCATCTGGGATCGCCAGCGTCGCCTTCTCGCCAAGGTGCCCAGAGGTGAAAATCGACTCTACGTCCTTGATGTGCAGGTGGCACAACCGGTCTGTCTCGCTGTCCGTCGAGACGACGAGGCGTGGCAGTGGCATGAGCGCTTTGGGCACCTTCACTTTGAGGCCCTGAAGCGTCTAAGTGCCAAGGAGATGGTGCGAGGCCTGCCATGCCTCGACCATGTGGAGCAGTTCTGCGACATCTGCGTACTGACAAAGCAGAGACGACTCCCCTTTCCCCAACAGGCGAGTTTTCGGGCTAAGGAGAAGCTGGAGCTCGTGCACGGAGACCTGTGCGGCCCGGTGACGCCAGCCACACCAGGAGGTCGACGCTACTTCCTGCTGCTCGTCGACGATCTCTCCCGCTACATGTGGGTGATGATCCTCGGCAGTAAGGGAGAAGCGGCGGACGCCATCAGGCGCGCGCAGGTTGGTGTGGAGGCGGAGAGCGGCCGCAAATTGCGCGTGTTGCGCATTGACAACGGCGGCGAGTTCACGGCGGCTGAATTCGCGTCGTACTGCGCCGATGAGGGCATCCAGCGCCACTACTCCGCGCCGTACAGCCCGCAGCAAAACGGCGTCGTCGAGCGGCGCAACCAGACGGTTGTGGGGATGGCTCGGGCTCTCCTCAAGCAGAGAGGGATGCCGGCTGTCTTCTGGGGAGAGGCGGTGCTAACGGCCGTCTACATCCTCAACCGCTCTCCTACTAAGGCACTCGACGACAGAACTCCGTATGAGGCCTGGCATGGGCGGAAGCCGGCGGTCTCTCATTTGCGGGTCTTTGGCTGCCTTGCGTTCGCCAAGGAGCTCGGCCACATCGGCAAGCTCGACGACAGGAGCACTCCGGGAGTCTTCATCGGCTACGCGGAGGGCTCAAAGGCCTACCGCATCCTCGACCCAAAGACACAACGTGTGCGCACAGCGCGAGACGTCGTGTTCAACGAAGGGCGAGGGTGGCAATGGGACAAGGCGGTGGACGACGGCTCGACGCCGACGTTTGACGACTTCATTGTCGAGTACGCTCACTTCAAGGAAGCTGGGGGAGCAAGCAGCTCCTCTTCACCGGGCACGTCTACCCCGGCCCCCAAAACTACATCGACTCCGGCGCCTGCTACACCGACGACACCACAACCGGCGACGCCGCATACTCCAGCCCCGGCGGTCGCCACTCCGGGCTCGTCTTCATCAGCACCAGCTCACGCAGAGCACAACCCGATGAAGTTCGCTTCCCCGCTCACTCACGACGAGGAGCGGGTCAACGCATGGTATGGAGGCGAACCGCTGCGGTACCGTACGATGGATAATGTGCTCGGCGACCAGCCGGTGCCAGGACTGGTGCCACGTGACCTGGAGGCGCAGCTACAGCTCGTGTGTGAAGACGGCGAACCACGGTCCTTTGCAGAGGCCGAGAGAGACGCGGCATGGCGCGCCGCGATGAAGTTGGAGATGGATGCGGTCGAGCAAAACCGCACCTGGGAGCTTGCTGATCTCCCTCGAGGTCACCGCGCAATCACCCTTAAGTGGGTGTTCAAGCTGAAGAGGGATGGAGCCGGCGCCATCATCAAGCACAAGACTCGTTTGGTGGCCCGAGGCTTCTTGCAGCAGGAAGGAGTCGACTTCGACGACGCTTTCGCTCCCGTGGCACGGATGGAGTCCGTGCAACTTCTCCTTGCGCTGGCTGCCCAGGAGGGCTGGCGTGTCCACCACATGGACGTTAAGTCGGCATTCCTCAATGGCGACTTGAAGGAGGAAGTCTACGTGCATCAGCCACCGGGGTTTACGATTCCCGGCCAGGAGGGCAAGGTGCTCCGCCTGCGCAAGGCTCTCTATGGCCTGCGGCAGGCACCCAGGGCGTGGAACGCCAAGCTGGACTCCACGCTGAAGAAGATGGGTTTCGAGCAGAGCCCGCATGAGGCTGCCGTCTACCGATGGGGGAGTGGAGGAAATGCCCTGCTGGTGGGCGTCTACGTTGACGACCTGGTGATCACCGGCACCAAAGATGCAGAGGTGGCGGCGTTCAAGGAAGACATGAAGGCCACGTTCCAGATGAGTGACCTGGGGCTCCTCTCCTTCTATCTAGGGATTGAGGTGCACCAGGACCACTCCGGGATCGCGCTTCGACAGTCCGCCTACGCCAAGCGCATCGTTGAGCTAGCTGGGCTCACCGACTGCCATCCAGCTCTCACTCCGATGGAGGAGAGGCTGAAACTAAGTCGCGACAGCACGACGGAGGAAGTGGATGCTACGCAGTACCGACGCCTTGTGGGGAGCCTTCGCTACCTCACTCACACACGGCCGGACTTGGCATTCTCCGTCGGCTATGTCAGTCGGTTCATGGAGCGACCAACGTCGGAACACCAGCAGGCAGTGAAGAGGATCGTCCGCTACATAGCAGGGACCCTGGACCACGGCCTCCATTACCCTAGGTGCCCTGGGGCGGCACACTTCGTCGGGTACAGCGACAGCGACCACGCTGGCGACATTGACACCAGCAAGAGCACGAGCGGGATCCTCCTCTTCCTCGGCAAGTGTCTCGTGAGCTGGCAATCAGTCAAGCAGCAGGTGGTGGCCCTGTCCAGCTGTGAGGCTGAGTACATAGCGGCCTCCACCGCCTGTACTCAGGCGCTCTGGCTTGCTCGACTGCTTGGTGATCTTCTCGTTCAAGACACCAGAACGGTGCAGCTCCTGGTGGACAGCAAGTCCGCCCTGGCCCTGGCAAAGAACCCCGTGTTCCACGAACGGAGCAAGCACATCCGACTGAGGTATCACTTCATCCGCAGCTGTGTGGAAGAAGGGAGCATCGAGGCGAGCTACATCAACACCAAGGATCAGCTCGCAGACCTGCTCACCAAGCCCCTTGGGAGGGTCAAGTTCCTCGAACTTTGCTCCAGGATTGGGATGATTCAACTCTCCCACAAGACGACGTACAAGACTTAGGGGGAGAATGATGGATAAGTCTGTGTACCAGGGTCCTTGTGGGGCTGCAGTACATGGTCCTTGTGGCAGTTAGGAGGATAAAGTCCTGGACCATCAAGGACTGGCTGTTAGGATAGAGTTCTGTTCTTGACCATCAAGGACTGTCAGTTAGCATCTTAGACTAGCATCTTAGACTGGCATCTTGGCAGCATCTTAGCATATGCCTTGGCTGGCTAGCAGCCTATAAATATGTATCCCCAACCCCTCGGGTTGGTATGGCATTGTGTGAGAAATAAACCAACGAAAATTGTCCCAACTCTCCTAGTGTCATCCACAACTATCAATGCTCAGGCTGAAAGGTCTAACAGCTCTCTCCCCCTTGTTGAATAATCCGCGGAGGATCATCATCCAGGCGGAGGCTTTCACATCAGGTGTCATATTGCTGCTGCTTTTGCAGCTCATCCTTGGTTCCTTCAGACGGCAGTCAACCAGCTTCTTGGTCCAAGGTGACCTACACTGTGTCGTTCCCTGCCATCGCCTACACCCTGGGCTTGATGCAGTCCTCTCCGGTGAAGAATGTCATGTACCCCATCTGGGCCCTCTCATTGCTGATGGCTGCTGGGTGCACCAACGCCGTCAAGGTCTACGAGCTCAATGACAACAGGCAATGGAAGCAGATGCTTTTCAATAGTTTCCAGTATTGCGCCTACGCTTCTTTAATCTGCTGGCTCCTTTTGCCTTATAGCATGAGCATCGTGGGATATTACCGCCAATTCTTCCACATGCTCGCGCCGTCGAGCTACTTTGCAGTTCTTAAGTCTCCTTCAAGTGTTGTCAATCTTCTCACTATTTGTTCTATATTAACGGTGCTCATGGGCAGAGAGCTTGCATGTCTGCTGGTTGAGTTCGGCTACTTGAGGGCCAGAGCAGTTGCCAAGTTCATGAAGAACCTGCGTCCTGCAGCAGCAGCTAATGGTGGTGATGGGCTCAATCCTGCCAGGATGAAAGGGTACAATTACCCTGTTCACATTGATGGATTTGGCGGTCATGTCACCATCGACCAGATCTGGGACTGTGAAGGCAGTCTCCTCATGTCAGGTACTGAACACTGCAAAAAGCTCAAGGACTTGTGCCTGGCTTACGCCATGTATCAGCAATTGAAGCAGCGCTACTACGGGATGTCATTCACTGAGGAACACCTTCAGGAAACCTGTGACTTTGTCTTCAAGGGGTTGCAACGGACAGAAGATGACTATGAGAGAGCTTTCCGTATTGTGGAAATGGAGCTGGGGTTCTGCCATGACTACTTCTTTACAAAACATGCTATTATCTTTGAACTGGAGGCAACATTCTTCGTTCTCTTCCTCGCGAGGATTTTTCTCATTGCCACATGTGTATCCTTTGTCGTGCACCGTACACTATCCGTCAAGACACACAGCGCTATCATTGAAGTGCACTCCAAAAGGGCTGACCACATCATCACTCTCCTTGTTTTGGCCACATTCCTCCTCATAGAAATTCTTCAAGCAACATTTTATTTGGCCTCGGATTGGTGCAAGGTGTCAGTTACTTGTAGGTATGTCAACAGATCTTGTTATCGCCACAATGCTTTCATTCAGAAGCTTATTGGATATATTGGCAGATTTGCCATTTTCGGGTACTGGAAGAATAAGATTGGCCAGTACTCAATAATTCCGCGTATCACTGCTGCTGATTTGTCTGGCGACAGTCAACCAGTAAACCTGTTGCAAACAGTCAAGCGGGCTATTGCTAGCTCCCTAATATCATGTGAATGTCCACCAACTAATGGAGAAAGGTCATTACATGGGAACCATGTCCTCGGAGAGTTTTTTTGGGCATTGCAGGGCCAATGTCAAACTGAGACCATGTTAATTTGGAGCATCGCCACTGATTACTGCCATATGACTCCCCCTACCGGGGACGGGGAGCACATGAATGGGGCGTCTGAAAATGAACAAGACACAAAGGTGAGGAGGAACGTATCAGTTTGCCTATCAAGATATTGCACGTACTTGATGAACTCTGCCCCAGAACTGCTTCCAAGACACTTTGGAGATACAAAGTCGGCCATGGCTGAAGTAAAAGGTGAAGCATACGAAGCTCTAAGATCCCAGAATGTTTCTTCCAGCCCAGGCTTAACATCCCAGAATGCTAATTCTGAATCGGGCGGTTCGAGCTTAAGACTCCAGAATATTTCATATTTTCAGAGAAATGAGGTTGAACTCCCAACCTTTGTTTCGATCGATGCATCCCAGAAGATTTACCAGGCTATGAATCGTTTACAAGACCAAGAGGAAGACAGAAGCATCTTCATGAGAGGTGTGAAGCTTGGCAAGCAGCTAGAGGGCATACTGAGCAGTGCTCTTCGCTGGAAGTTAATCGCGGATTTCTGGGCTGAGAAGATCCTCTACATCGCACCATCAGACAATGTAAAAGGACACATGGAACTTCTCGCAAAGGGAGGAGAGTTTCTCACCCACATCTGGGTCCTCCTTACTCATGCTGGCATCCTCAAGATTAACAGGGAGGAAGGTAACAACACCACGCCCAGGCGCCAACCATCCCAAGGAGATGTCTAGTAATTTCAGTTCTAGATGCTTGCTTTCATGTACCTCTATCGTGCTTGCCGCCTGCATGTTCTACTCTTGAAAAGCTTTCTTATTTCTGCTGCACTGTATCATGTGTAATACTATATCCCAGTGATGCTCAATCGTCATCTGCACTATTATTGTTGTATCACTTCCAAAATTGTCATATGCAAAAACCGTCATGTAATTGTCTGTGGAATTTGTGTTATTCTGCTAGATGGTGCGCGTCATCTGCACTATTGTTGTTGTATCTTTTCAGAGTTGTCATGTGCAAAAATAGTGATGTTTTATTGGTTTATGTGGAAGTTGTGTTATTCTGCTAGCCTGGGGCCTGGGATAGCACCGTGTGTCGAGATACTCTATGAATCCACTAACCTTTATGCATCCCTGCATCCCTGCATCCTCTCATCACCAGCCGCTCGATCTAAATCCCGTGCCTGTCGTGGGTCGACCCTCTTTTTGCAGAAAACCGCCCGCAGCCAGCCAAGTCAGCCGTGTGAATATTACGAAAACATCCCTCCTCCGAAGCCGAGGGCAACTCCCCAATTCCCGATCTCGCTAAATCTCTTCCTCCCTCCTATCGCCAATGCCAGCGGCAGCCATGACGGGGACGACAGCCGGCGACGCATACCAGTGATCATTGATAGGCCGTGTGGGTGGCCGTCTCAATGGTAATCTGCAACGGCAGCCTGGGACGGAGATCCATATCGGTGGTCGTCGCATTAGCAGACCGCGACGGAGCATACGACGAGGAGCATGCGGGGAGGAGCCTGATATGGAGATCCGTGTAGGCGGCGGTTGCATCCCGACGGCTGCGACATCTGATGGAGACATCAAGAGGCAATAGGCACCACAGTACGATTCGGCGGCGACCACGACACCGGTAGATGACTACTACTGTGGCCACGTAGCTAATACCTTTTAGATGAACTCCCCTTGCGAATTGAAATAGCAATGGATCTTTCTTGATGTGCCAATTGAGGTTCAGGACTGGAGTAATATGTGTTGCTGAATGCAAAATTCAGAAAACGTGAATATCAGTTATGTGAGTTTGTTTTTCAGCAAGTTGGGAGAGAGAGCAACAGGGCAGCACATGCGTTGGCTGCCTGGGCTGTAACTCACAGGGAAAATGGAACTTGGCTAGTCCTCTACTCCAAGTTCATTGATCATGTGACTGAAAATGACAATGTAAACTCCTTTGCTATGATTGAATGGTAGCTCTCAGTTTCCTCGCAAGAAAATAGTGTTTTACTGCAATTTGTAAATTTGTAAGCTGAGTTTGATGTGATTGTTGAGGTTGTTGTGATTTGTAAGCTGAGTTTGATGTAACTGTGAATGCAATTTATAAGCTGACCTATTTCTTGGGTATATAAGCTGAGTTTGATGTATCCGTTCATTTGAGTTTGCAAGCTACAGCCCGATTCTCTAGTTGCACATGTACAACACGCACACAAATACTCCAGTACACGCACACAAATTCTCTTGGGTACAGTATTACTTATTTTTACGTGCTAACTGAAGCTCCATGTGTTGTTCTGAAGTACAGTTCATGTTCAGTAGTGGTGGGGCTTTGGACAGCCATGGCTGGGCATGTGAGATGAGTTTGCTGGTAGGTATATGCGGAGGCAAACGCAGGGTCGCCTCCTGATTTATGGCGGAAGGAGGGTGGCCAGGTTCCTCGATTGCTGTGGAAGCAAATTCACCCGTCCCAACTCCCAAGCAGCAGTAGCACCGTGCTGATCGGTTCCGGTGTATCACGCGAGAAGGATTCATGTGATATTACTCGCCGGCTGATCGGTTGCCCCACACGGCCTATCACTAATCACTGGTATTCGTCGCCGGCTGTCGTCCCTGTCGTGGCTGCAGCTGGGATTGGCGATAGGAGGGAGGGAGAGATTTAGCGAGATCCGGAATTGGGGAGTTGCCCTCGGCTTGGGAGGAGGGATGTTTTTGTAATATTCACACGGCTGACTTAGCCAGGTTGCGGATGGTTTTCTGCAAAAAGAGGGTTGACGCACGTCAGACACGGGATTTAGATTGAGCGGTTGGTGATAAGACGATGCAGGGATTCACAAAGGTTAATGGATTCATAGGATACGACGCCAACCAAGAATGCTCATGCTAATGTCATGGTGGAAGATTTTATGAAATGCTTCTTGAGACTGAAATGTACTGTTACTAAGGATCATGGTCAGTTGCTCTGAAGGCAGGACATGAACCACCACAGCAAAGCTTGCAGGAATCAGGTGCGATGCGCACCTCAATGTAGCAGTTCCACCAATTCAAACCACGACGTTCATGGAGGTTGAAGTTGAGCCGAAAAACTGCATCATATATGCTGATGGAGAGCAATAGACCCCCGTCTGCCGTGAGCTTCCAAACAATGGAGTCCGAACGCAGCCCACTGCCTAACCATGCGGAGTGCCAAAATCGGTTTGCTTGCCATCTCCAATGGTGGCTGGCATTGGCCTGGAATAAATGGTGATATGAGAAAATGATCACTGGCGTTAGCTCCAACTCCCGGTTCTTTTCGCGGAACGCCAGGCGTTAGCTCTGCTTTCTACGCCTGCTGCCGAAGAAGAGTATTGACCTCGTTGAATGCTTCCTGGATGTGCATCACACCTAATTTCTGCTGTTTTGCTGCGGTTGTTCTTGTCCTGCCTTCGGAGGGGCCAACTAACCACGATCCTTAGTACCAGGCCCGAGCCCAAGGGGGTGCGACCTGTGCGCTTGCACAGGGCCTCCCGTTTTCAAGGGCCCCAAAAAAAAAATTACGCAGTAGTATTACTCCTTTGTATAGAACTATAGATGGGCCTCTTCAGACTTCAGTCTTCAATGTGGATCTCTGTTGCCATCGGAGTAAGGCCTCATCCATCGCTAGATTCGATCGAGACGAGCGAAAGGACGAGGAGTTCCTTCATCTGGAGCTGGGGAAACTTCGTCTGCAGCTGGCGGCCATCGCTCCACGCGGCAGGTTAGGGCTCCTGACTCCTCTCCAATCCTCTTTCCTTGGTGTTGAATCCAGGGTCGAGATGTTCAGTACTTCAGTTCCAATTCGACGAGTAGATCCTTTTCACGAGTAAGGGGACAGGACGTGGGAGGGCAGGATCGGCCGAAGAGTAGCCAGCAGAGAGGACCTCATTCATCTGAATCTGAAATCTAAAGGCAAGGAAAGTTCAGGCCAACTTTCTATCTGGAAATTTTAATCGTCTTCGCGTCAATAATCGGCGATTTTGTGATCCTTTAACTTTGTTTCGCTTTCTGCCTGCTATTTAGTGGTACTAATTTTTTTAAATTTTATTCTTTTCATCTATGAAGCGTTTAGTATTGCAAGATACAAGTATTAAGTCATGTCTTCATTTAAAATAAATGAATCTGGTTACCAAAAGCGCTTGAAGAAACAAAAAATAGGTATGTAAAATATTGTGATCTTTATATTATTATAGTTGTATGTTTACGTAGGTTTTTCTTAGTAAGATAGGGCCCATTTTAGAGTTTTGCACCGGGCCTCCGATTTTGCCGGCTCGGCCCTGTTCTAACTCGACGGTTGAGGGAACTTTCCCCAAAATATATCTTTCCACCGCCAAGAGAGCTTTATGGGCTTCCATCATCATACCCCTACTCATCGGGAGACATTTACCGTTATTGTTGTAGGAACACAAAATCTCACCATTGTAACAGGTGCTCAGTTTAAGGCGCTTAAGCAGCTTTGAATTCTGAAGAATATGGCATGTCAGCTCAACCATGCTCTTCGCAGAACAAAAACCAATGATCTGCACATCCTTGATGTTCCTATGCATGTGTCCTGGCATCTGCCTTAGATCATGAAAAGAATCTCCTAAAACTGATTCTTGCTCCATGCAATCCGGCTCTGCCTGCATTGGATATAGATGTCAATGTCAATAATAACGGTGAAACGACAAAACATATACTTTGAACTAATGCGTGGTCCCACCAGAGATATAGTGCTATTCTGAGCTAGAGCGTAAAATAGTTATTCTACAACCTAGTGAAACTGTGCACAAATGTAGTAGAACAGTGTAGTACTACATATTGTACTCCCTCGCTCCCTCCCTCTATAGACAATATGGCAAGATGAACATGACTTACAGACAATATGAAAGTCTCCAAGGAAGGACAAGCATCAAGAAAAGAAACCAGAGAGAAATAATCATAGTCTGGGGTAAATGTCCCAATACACAGATGCTGGAGGTGGAGGAATTTGCCAGGTACCACCAGTATATCCCTCTGCACAAAAATGCTTCAGATTAAAATCCCAGGAAAAATGCAGGTTGCAATTGTTTGTTGCATGATGTTGGTATCTAATTGTCTGAAGTACTATAAGAATATTACCACATAAGACGAATGTATGTTAAGAGCTTCAAGATTTGGCACCATGCATGGAAGTTTGGCACCAGCATAATGAATAACGTCCCACCCTGAAGCATCAATGTCAAGGTTTTGCAATGAAACACCAAGTGATAGTCGTACCAGGGCACCACCATATTCAAAACTGTAGAGATAAGGGGCCTTATTCTTTATCACTTCCAGATTTAAGCAGTCGTGGACAACCAGGTGGCTAAGCCGCTGCAGCAGGCTAGGTATCTCCAGGAAAATCAACTCATCGCAATACGCTAGTGTCAATTTCTCCAAAGCAACTGAACTGGAAAGAAGGCACATTAACTCATCCCCTGTAATATGCACATCATACAGTTCCAAACTAGTCAGGCTTCTTAAGCAGCCAACTCCAGCTGTGGGACGGAAGGCACATTCACCGAGATGAAGGTGCCGAATCGACTTGCCACTCCCATCAAGTAGAAGTGTGTATGGGAAGTTGTACACGTCCGCATGAGATGAATGAAGCTGCAGATAAAGTTCTTCAATCCCTGGTCTAACGGCAATACCAAGCCAACGATTGAGATCATCACATGAGGTGCTGAAAAAGGGAAATTCACGTATTTCAAGTTTGAGTGCCTTCACGCCAACGCCTGAGTGGTTTTTCAGAATGTGGTCGGTTCTCTTTGCAAGATCAAGCGCTATTTTAGATGATATCCCGCCGACCCCGCCTTTCAAACCCAGTGTTTCCCTAGTTAAGCTGAGATTGGGAAGACATCTCCAAGAACGTCGAAACGAATGAGACACGCAGGCAACGCGTGCAGCATCTCGTAGAGGAAGAAGAGAATGTATATGATGCCATACGGCCTGCATGGACGAGCATTGGGGAAAAAAATTCAGCATAGGAACTGTAAAGGCAGACGATTGCTTTCAATTTGGGAAGGGAAAGTAGAACCATATGAAGTAACACTGACAATATGGTAGTTATATATGAACATTGAAATGTCCACACTCCACAAGATCATGTAAAAGAATCCAACAGCTTTAGCAGTTACAGTGAAAGTACATGACATATGGACATATGGTAACTAAGATGGCAGGATAACAGATTGGACAGAGCAGATCATATGGCACTCTATACAACTACTATAAGAATATATCCATTTCAATTCTACAACTTCTTGCTGATCTAGGAAGCACTATAATGAAATGAATATTTGTTTCAAGCCTATAACTTTTTAACGGAACTCAGAAGCACTATAATGAAATGAAGGCATGTCAATCATGTGAGCTTTTTACTGGAATTAGGAAGCACTATAATGTAATCAAGGCCCGTCTGAACTATGAAGACAAGAAAAGCATTCAGAGGTAGTTGAACAACATACATACGATACATATTTTTTCTTGTGGAAACTAAGAGCCTATTCGATGTTTCCATGTCAAATTTGGGGCAAGCCAAAAGAATAGTCCCACTTGGGCTGACTTTGAAATTTGCCAAATGCCCATGCTTTTACACTCACATATGGCAGGCCGCAAATTTTGCCCCCATATGGCTTGCCAATTTTGGGCATTACAACACTAAGAAAGACACAGGATATTGACCACAATCACAGGGGAAGAAGTACAAGCAACTAAAGGGGATAGCAATATGAATTTAGGAAGTCTACTCTTACTCAAGTGATATTTTTACTTAGGCATTGATTCACAAATTTCTGCATGTAAGTTACTAATTCTTGGCAATTAACGGCGAACCTCTGGAAGGCTTGGTCCTGAGTATCTCAACTTTTTATGACTCCGGGAATTGTCATCATGTGAGTCCTTCCTTTTAGCAACTGAAGTCACCGATCCATCTGCAGCACATGATGCATTGGTTAGAATAACAGAGATACTGATGGAAGAGAACAACAGGCACAGGTACAAACACAGGGACAAGCCCTATTTCTCTCCATTATCCAACTTCTCCCCAAGACCCACCAACTTAAGAAGAACCAAAATTGTTTCGGTGTAAGAATAAGAATTCAGTTAACTATTAGTACATTTGCAAAAGGTTGCACTTGCAGTGCCCCCCTAAGTCTCTTGAATCTCCGTTACCCCTGCCCTTTCACGAAGCATGTCATGTTCAATTCGTCCCTTGACAGACACACATAATTCTTTTTTTCTTCCGGAAAAATAAACTGTAAACAGCAGACACAATAAAAAGTGCTCCCTTCGATCCATACCAATTGCCGCTGATTTAGTACATTAATTGTTGCATGTACTATTGTACTAAATCAGCGACAGTTAATATGGATTGCAGGGAGTACTTCTTTTTTCCTTCAACCAAAAAACATGTAACTGTCGAACAGGTTACAGATTATCATCTTAGAAAAAGGCAGAAGGAACAGGTGGCTTACTGCGGCCTTGAGTTGGCCGGCGACGCCGACCCCGCTGCATAGGCATGAGCCGATTGAATGCCAACAGCCCCATGATGCGACGACGCCAGATCAGGCGGAGCGACTCTCTCTCTCTCTCTCTCTCTCTCTCTCTCTCTCTCTCTCTAAGTGCGGGCGGCACGGCGAGCTTAATACGTACTCCGTATTCCAGCTTGAACTGAATCCAAGAATAGAATCCGAGGCGGGAGGGGAATCGCGTCGGCGCCGCCGCGGAGGGGCAGAGTGGCAGACTAACCAAACACGACACGGGAGGAAGCGGGACTGACAAACAGCGGGACTTGACAAATCCAGCCTAGCGCGTCCGCGGGGCATTGACCGAACACCTCTTAAATATTACGTCGCACATCCGCATACCATAAATTCTTATTTTTAAATCCATGTAATCCATGTATGCCGAACATACGGTACAAACTATTCGAACGCCTAAATTTAAAACAAAACAAAGCAAATCATAGTTTAACCAATCAAAATGAAATTAATGTTCGAGCGTGACGGATGGCCTCGGATCACTAGCTGGGCGCCTGCTCCGAACGGAATGCGTCCTGCTCCAGGCGAAATGTGTCCTTCTCGTTCTGCTCCGCCTGCATCCGGGCTGCCTGCTCCAACTGCATCCGGGCTGCCTCCTCCGCCTGGATCCGAGCCGTAGCCGCCTCGTAGTCCCTCCGGTCGTTGATCTCCTTCTTGTTGTCCTTAAGCCACTTCTTCGCATGCTCATCCAAGACGGTCTCGTCCGTCAACATGATCTTCGCATCTTTCGCGTCCCGTATGAATCGCAACCTCTCCTTCTCAAGCTCTATGTCGCCAAATATCTTGGCCTTCTCGATCTCCCATTTGATCGCCGCTTCACTACTGGAATCATGATTTTTGCCGTCAGCCAGCTCTAGTTGACGGCAAAGAAGCTCTTTGCCACCAGGCTAAAGAAAACTGACGACAAAGAAGAAGCGGACGGCAAAGAACATGTTTGCATTCAGCCAGCTCTTTGTTGTCAGCTAGCGGCAAAGAAGGGGGGGGGGTGGCCCACTAGCGAGAACCATATAACGGCCACTTTCTTTGCCATCCGCTAGCAGACGGCAAATAAAGTGGCCAACCTAACGTCCGTTAGCTAGGCTCTTTGCCGTCTGCTAGCTGTGACCTAACTAAAAAGCGGCCGGCGCCCCGCCCCACCCCTCTTTCTGTCCGCTCTCTCTCTCCCTTGCCCGAGCCGCCGCCGTCGCACC